CAACTAAAAAAAATATTTTTAAAAAATGAGGGAGCAGTTCAACTATGGTGGTTTGGCAGAGTGCTTGCCATTTCAGATGCATTTCCACATTTATTACCTAATCCTCATGGCCCACAAGATATTCCCACTTTAAGTTCAAGAATCTACACCTGGTTTCCTTTTCTAGTTAGCTTGAAGTGGCCATGAGGAATCGCTGTGTGTTTGAGGAAATGTGGAAACACAGTGGGATAATCTTGACCATTTAAACCACCATTTACCAATCACCTGTACCTGCCAGGCACTGTTGTAAGTTGAGAGCCTGGAGGTAGGTCCATGAAGCTGCTGCCCTCGTGGGGCTGGAATTCTATAACAAGAGATGGACAATCAAATATTAGATGAATACGGTGCAGAGAATAACAACATATCTGGCAGAAGGTGGTCAGGAAAGGCCTCCGGAAGTTGAGATCTGAATGACCAGAAGGGGTCCCCTTGTGACTCACAGGGGACAGCTTAGCACTTCCCAAGGCATGGGTACAGGAGCCTGGGCAGAGCAGTAGGATGTTATGTATTCCAAGGTGGTATTGGCTACAGACTCCAGGTAGGGAAGAAGCATTATGTTTTTAAAACTCAATGTTGCTGCTGTGTGTAGAATGGAAGGGCCCAGGAAGAAGCAAGAAGACCAGTTAGGGCGCATCCTGAAGAGATGATGTAATGGGGTAGATGACTAAAAAGCCTCTCCTGTCCTACCCATTTTTCTCTCCTCCACCTTGGAGTTGTTATCATTTTGGGCACATTGGTAACTGCATTTATTCTATTGCTCTGCTTAACTGAGGTAAGGAAGGGGTTCAAGATAAAAACAAAAACACTTAGTTGATTTTACTTGATATTGTTTCATCTATGTTCTATAGTGTTGTGGGACCCAGGACTATTCAGCACCTAGCCAAGACCTTCTTCTTCCTCATTGTCCAATAAATAGGATTTCCAGTGTTAATGAGAATTCTGCTTTAATACTTATTTCTTTTTGAGAACCTCATAGTGGTAACTAGATCATCCATTCCATGGCCATCGCAGCAATAATTGTATATGTGAGTCACCTTGAAAGGCCCAGGTCTGCTGCCACCCACAAAAGCCAATGACTGGAGAGACAGTAAGGGCATGAGAAAGGGTTTGATTAACAACAAACTGGCAAATTGGGTGCAGGGAAGCTAATACCTTCTCCAGCTTTYCCAGCACCATGGAGAAAAGGTTTACATAGCACCTTTTTTWAAAAAAAAAATTGATTTTATTTTTTAAATACATGATAGTGGAATGCATTACAATTCTTATTTACACATATAGAGCACAATTTTTCATATCTCTGTATATAAACTATGTTCACACCAATTCATGTCTTTATACATGTACTATGGATGATGATGTCCATCACATTCCACCCTCATTGCTAAACCCCTGCTCCTTCCCTTTCCCTTCCACCCCTCAGTCCTATTTAGAGTTCGTCTATTTCTCCCATGCTCCCCCTCCCTATCCCATTATGGGTCAGTCACCTTATATCAGAGAAAACATTYGGCATTTGTTTTTTKGGGATTGGCTAACTTAGCATTATTTTCTCCAAGGCCATCCACTTACCTGCAAAAAGAGAATAAAATCATGGTATTTACATAGCACTTTTTGTGGGAATATTATCTCAATCTTGGGCAGGTGGGCACCAGGGTGGTTCATTAGTCTTGAGAAATGATCACTTCTGAAATGTGGGGTGTGAGCATCTTAACTCCCTTGTGAGGTCACCGAGCATCCTGGACCTGGGAATTTAAGAAAACTTGGGAATGGGGTTGCATTTTAACTAATTCTACAGTTAGTTATTAAGGTATGGAGCTGCATATGGGCAGAGAACAAAATTCAGCTAATACATTGAAMAGAAGAAAAGAGGAAAAAAAACTTTTAAGTCCTCCTTGTGACTTCAAGAGGATGTAATCAAGTAGTTAAAAATGTACTGAGCATTTACTATGTAAATGATACACTACTGCTCTTTGAGGTAGGTATTCTCATTTATATCTCTTCTTCGTATGAAGCGCCAAGGAGCAGAGAAGTGGATTCTCCAGATTGCACAACTAACAAGTAAGAGATGGGTGCAGGCAATTGAGCTCCAGAACCTGTTCAGGAAAATGATTGGAAATAAGAACACTAATTTTTTACCATTATAGAGCAGTTTTTAAAGCCTTCATTATTGTGTTTCATTCTCAGAACTCTAGGAAGTGGATAAGGTAGGCATTATTAACCCATATGAGTAAGAATAATGAATTAGAGACGTTACCTGACTTGCTCAAATTTATCTAACTAGGCAAAGTATAGCTTCTAAGCTTTCTGCATAAGATAGGGCACTTCTCATTAATCCTACCATTTCCTAATTAAACAATTAGTACCTGTAGCCTGATGGAGATGCCCTCCAATTTTAGGGGTGTTAAAACTTTCCCTCTATTTTTTGAAGTTTCAATAATTTGAGTCACTGGGATAAACTGACAGTACACAGACCAACAAGAGAAAAATTATACAAGTTTATGTGCACAAGCACAGGAGCCTCACAGAATTTAAGACTCACAGAAGGGCCAGATGATCCAAGTTCATATGGAATCTGAATGGGGGTTCCTACTGGAGGTAGTAACTGGAATGGGAGGGTGATAACAAGATAAATAAGTGGGAACCTGAGGCTAAAACTCTCTGAGCTCGGGAGGAAACAATCTCTTTTCCTGTGCTGTGAACTTTCCTAGAGTCCCCTTTAGGCATACAAGGGGACCTCAAGGAAGACCTCTACTTGCCTCTGCTATACCTAAGCACTATACCTTGAGGTATTATTTTCTGAGTTAAATGCAATCAATCTGTACATTTAATAGAGTGTTTTCTGAAATATACTCATATAGTCATATCAATATTGCACCTCAAAATGATATGTCTTAAAATATAAGAAACATATAGTCTTTGAAATACAAACACATAAACTACTGAACAATCTGGTGTGAAGAGGCCCCATAAAAACATCATCTGGGAAATCGGAATGAGGATGTGAAATTTTTTCATAGACTGAAATTTAGAGAAAAGTTTTCTTGGATAGAAAAATGGTGACGATCACAGATTGCACATGTCGCACGCTTAGTCTCTTAAGTGAATTTGTTTTTAGAAGTTGTCATGTGCAATTTTAGAGATGATAACTAGAAGTGTCACTAGATGGCACTATTATTCTTAGGACTGTAGTAAGCCATTCCTAATGAATTGAGAGTGATACAGCAGCCATATCCATTAGTACTAA